TTCAGAGTGAGACAAAAGGTTACCTAGTTCCTACAAAGACCTACAAAGACTAAAAAAAAGTATTGCCAGACTTTAATTGACATCAATACATTTTCACCTCGGACCCTCCTTACCAGTCATGACAATACGGAGGTCTCAATACGTGTTTGTGTAAATGCTATAAAGTTTCTATCCAAAACTGGGTTTATCGTGTTTGACGGGTTCATATGTGCAAAGAACTTCGCCTAAATAATGGCCAATCATTACTGGTTTGACATCAATGTGAAGGAAGTCATTGCCAGTGCAGATTCTAATAATGGAACCAGCCACCTCTCATTTGGCGGATCTTCCTTTTTGGCTTTACAAAGTTTCTTTATCAACGCCATTGGTTTTCATTACGAACCGCGGTGGAAACGACAGCGTGCAAGTAGTTGATTGTTGGGTATGTCTGAGAACGTACGCAAATCGACATCACCTAAAATGGACTTCTTAAAGGCGCTTGTTGCGAAAAGTCTACGAAAAGAGAAGTAGCGTTCTTGCACTTAAATTTGATTAGCTTTGGCCATGCCATAGAAGATTGAGCAACAAGTTGCCAGATGTCTGCGACCTTTTTAAGAAAATGCTGTTTCACTTTGAACAACTTTTGAAACTTCTCCGCAAATCATTTATTTATTTCTTTTTATTTAAAAACGATCGATCACTCAGGGATTGCTCACGAATACGGCCGGAAAAACGAAAAGGTGAAGAAAGAGAATCATATAGAGCGGTAGCTGGCGCCTAGTGGAAGTGGACCCACTCGATAAGCCTTTACTGACTGCGCAGTCCCTACCTACGACCAAGGTAAACTCTACAACTTTCGGATTTGAACCCGCGAACACTAAGTTGTTACTGGCCGTTCTTATCCTCTCATCATTCTTGAGGTTTCTTAGCGTTTTGCTAAACCAAACCAACTTGCAAATAAGAATTGGATATCTATCTTCGAAGCAAGGGCAACGCAAGCAGTTTCGCCTTACACGGCAAGAAATTGTGAGAGGATTGAAATTTTCTCGCTTGGACAGTAGGAACTTACGCTAAGTTTTTTTCGGCAACAGTAGGAGAACTTAAGCTTCCCTAATTTTGTTTACATTCAACGCCGAATCTCTTATGTATGAAAAAATGAAGATTTTAAACTTTTAACTAATGCTTCTCAAGTATTGAGGCTATAGTTCAGGAAAAGTAGTAGAAGCGATGAACAATTTGATGCTTGTATGGTGCACTCATAGACTGTTTTTGCTGATCTTTAAATTTGATTTAATGTAAATGAACAAAGAAAATACCTACAGAACTGGTCTGTTCACCTATTAATCCATCCAACTGTTGTTGCATTGCTTACGCTAGAGCGCCAAGTCCTTTGTCTACATTATACAACATTACTTAATCCGCCAGAGAGATCTATAACTAAGCAGATAGAGGGAGCGAGAGCTAGAAAAGCCCGTATGCCACCATATTTAAGAATATCTTTTGCAACTACGATGTACTGTTTTGAGACTGCGAGTGACAACGATGACCCATAACAGAAATATAATAATGTTTTCCTCATTTTTTATACGCTTCCTCAGAAGCGTGGATAGATATTTGTTTCAAACTGGCAAAGACGTAAACAAACAATTTCAGTACAGATCTGTTAGGCCATTGACAGAGTTCATGAAGTTAGATGAAGTTTTAGAAATATTCCATGAAATATTTAGCATAATATACACTACTTTTCACAACAAAGCAGCATTCGGAGGGTCACTGTAAAATTTTTCTGAAAAACACCAAATGGAACCTGTACATGTTTGAAAGGGTTATTGATCGAGGATTAATGGAAAACTGACTGTATTTTTTCTTCGTATTCGGTATTATCGTTAATTAAACTTTCGCCTTTTCAATCTAACATATGACATAGAAGAAAAGTTTCATCTTAACAAATTTGACGTAATTTTAATATGAAGTTATGTTTTTTGAAAAGAATTTCGGACTCGTATTTTGATTTAACTTCTTTAAAGACTTCGTTTAACAGAGCTCTGTGAATAGCTGAGAAGGAAAACCTCTATTGACAATGGTGTCTTCGCTAAGTAAATTTAAATTTCCCTTTACGCCATTCATCTTCACTTGGTTCTGTGAAGTTTCGTAAAAAACAAAGGCACTACGCAGGGCTAGTCTTCTTAAGTCCTCTGTAGTATTTATATTTTGACCAATTAAAGAGTATGGCAAGCAGGCGACAAGTGTACGGTCACGTTATCTTTTCATTTTGCAAAGTCATTCTCATTACATGGTCGTTTTCGTTTCGATGTCAAGAATTTCGATTTTATTTAAATAAGCAAATCTTCAAAAAACCGCCGACCCATTTTATATTTTCCTAACTAGTTTCTACATGAGTAAGGGCTTTGTTGTTGTTCTTTTAAAAAAGGCGGATTTTAAAGTCCAATAAATAACTATAAACACAACAAAGACAAAATATACTTCCATTGCAATTACATCCCCGATAATTTTTTACAGCTTAACCTAGTCAAGCCACTCTAGTCCGACATCTACCTTGGTGTCATACACTGGCCCTCGGTTGACTACCGAGTGCTTAAAGGTTTTCACGGTACATGCAAAGCACGTCGACTACTTTACCAATTACATCTCAGCCTTCTGCAAACTATGTTATAATTTATTCTATATAGATCTGATTCAATTGTTTCCTGCAAGCATCGCTCCTTGCTTCTGTGAAAATATTATCGAATATTTTCGTAAAAAATTCACACCATAATCGCATGCTTACAAAGGCAAGGTAACTCTAATGTCTCTTCTGTAATATTCCGTAGCCCTTACTCCTATAGATATTGTAACGAAGTAGTAAAATTCACATAATAAAACAAAGAGACAGACGGATATACAATATGTTGTTTATTGCGCACCGCTATCGCTTAGAAGATCTGCAAATAGTTTCGAAAGAATTGTTTTTTATCTTTAGAACACGATAGCCACTGACTCTACCTCCACGATTTTGTAAGTAAACGAAGTTTAGCTTCTCTCGCGAGAGATTTATTAAATTTTAAATAAATGGCAAAGAAAGAGTTCCTGACGTTTTATTGTTATTATTTAAATTTTTCTCCCCACCGTTTGAATATCGTTTATAACGTTGTTCGTTAGTTTAATTGGCTTTCAATAAACTTTTTTGAAGGTAGCGTAAACGTAAAGTGTTTATTAGAGTAAGAGCGAGAGTGCGAGGACTTAAGAGAAACGTACGCAAAGAATGTGTAAAGAGAAAATGAACTCTCAACTAATCGCAACAAATTCGCAGTCAGTGTTGCTAATTTAAATAATTTTCAGAAGATTTTATATGCGAAAAATTTGCGGAGAAAATCTAACTAAGAAAAACGCTTTGCTACCGTAAAAAATGCTCCCAATAAACGAAGAAACTGTTGAAACTGTTCTTGCTTTAAGGAATGGTTTTCCAACTTTAAGCGATTTTCAGATCTCCAGGCTTGGAAGGACGCTTGACTCTTCAAAAATAGTCAATTAAATCTTCTCTTATATTTTACACTAACACAAACTAAAGTCAATATCAAAAAGCAAAAAAAAAAAAAAAACTAAAAGATGTGAAAGGATAGCGAAAGCAAAACAAATTTGATGGAAATGATAAGCATCAGTAGTAGTTGGAAGTGCAACTCAAACCGTTAAACCAGTTTAATGCTGCTCACTGATTAAGACAAGTGATGACGATGCTGAGATTACGATGTTATGCTTAGGAAAAGCAGCACTGTTGACATGTTGTAAAAACCAGTAGCTACACTCCTACACTGATGGTCTCTTCGTTTCCCGCAAACAGATTTTCTGGCTAACCAAAACACAAAATGCCACAAAATTTACCTTAGACCTTCGGCCTTGGTTAGTCTCTTGCTATCTGAGGTAAGTTTTTTGCAAATCTCTAACGGGAAATTTTTAAAAGAGTTCTGTTCTCAATATTCTCAAGTCGAAATTGGTTGAAGTAAAGTCTCGTGCCGCTCAAGAACTTGACTGGGAGGTCAGTCATCATCTGAAATGAACTTGCCTTCACCCGCTCGCCTTGACAGAAATAAGTTAAACTTCAAACCGAATGTCTGCCATAAATCGTTAGAAACCCCTTAGTACTTTATTGATATATAGGTGAGGGAAAGGGTCGTAATGTATAGCAGTAATAGTTCAGTCTATGAGATCATTATTTCGAAAGATTAGTGAAAGACAAAAAGGAAAAGCAAAACAAAAAAAAAAAAGATTGTATTAAAGTATTTTATAGTTTTTTCCTTTTTTTCTTTTTTTTTTTTTTTTTTTTGGTATAGTTTTAAAGTTTTCAAATAAGCTCGGTGTGTGACTGACTCTCTCTCTCTCTTAGGAACATCCGTAGAAGAGGAACGAAAATAATCAAACAAGAAACGAGAGAGCCAAAGTTTGGAGAGCCTAACAAGTAGGCATTAGCACACACAAATATCTTTGAGATATAAACAAAAACAAAAAACCCGGTGGAAACGTATACGAATAAACGAGCATGATTATATTGTAGATATTCCGACACCAATACTTATGCACATATTCACAAACACTTCAGCAAACAGTTATTGTATGTTGTATCCGAAACTCAGTCAGTCTAATGTTAGATACGAACTAATGCAGAACGTTTTGTGCGGAGAGGCTCTTTAACAAAACATTTTACAAAATAATTTTTAATAAAAACAAATACATGTGCATTAAATAATTAATAGAAGAAAATTTTACAATGAAATTTTATAATTGAAATAAAATCAAAAAAAAAAATAAAAAAATTTAAAAAAATATTTAGTTAAAAATAATAAAAATTGTGCGGAATGAAATTTTATTATGGTGTGCAATAGAATGGAAACATAACCAAATGGTTTAAATGTAACGTAAGCAAAAAAAAAAAAAAAAAAAAATTAATAAATAAAAAAAAAAATAAATGAAAAATAATAAAAAAAAAGATTTAAATTAAAAATAAAAGTTCAAATTAAAATTATCAAGATTTTTTTAGAAATTTTTGCATAAAAAAAATTCTTTTCAAATTTCTTCTTTTGCGGTCTCGTGTAATCCAACAATAATTTCCAACAAAAACAACTACAATGATTACACACGGAACAAATAATGAAATGAAATGTTTATTTACTAAAAAATAAGAAGAAAAAACTAAAAATTGCTGTGTTGCGGACTTGAATAATTTCCAAGTAATGTTTTTTCCTCTTTTTTGTTTCTTGTACTTTTTTTTTTTTTTTATTATTCTAATATCCGATAACACATTTTAAAAGTAAAACAGAAGCTTTCCGAAGTACACAGAAAAATAAAATTCATATTTGTAACTTTCAATTAAAGTTCAAAGTCTTATTGAACGAAAGACAACTAAACCTTTCAATAAGAATCGTAAGAGAGCTTCAATCCAATCCATCAAAAGAAAAAACAGAAACTTGTTGGTTAAATGCAATTTATTTGACACGTTTCTATAGCGGCTGCAAATGGAATGAAGGGCCAAAGATCTATAAGGTAGATGAACAGGTCATGGTTTGACATTTTAAGGTAAACGGCCCCTGACTCGAACAATAGGGCTAAGCTGAAGCGCCCCAGACCCCACTAAAGTAAAGTGAGTCAATTAAAAAATGAGAAATGAAGTCCAAGAAGGTTCAGAATTTTTCATAATTCCGTTCCGAACGGATAGATGTCTTTAATTTTTCCTCAGGAGACAAATAAGTCTCGAAACTCGAGCCTGTTTCAATGTTTTCAAAAATATACCAACTAAGAGCATTCGCAAACAATGGTGAGTTTCATAGTAGCAGGCTTTAAAAACGTGAGGACTCGTTCAAGAAGTCGACATGGTTACAATACCAATGTCTTATTTTCGTTATATAAAGTTACTGTAGACTCGTTATCCCTACTGTGAAAATCTGGGAAAAGTGTCAGTCAGCAAATGACTTTGGAAAAAAATTGATTCATATTGAACATCTATGGCGTTAACAAAGCTGGATTTGAAGCTTCCTTAATTCCTATCCGAAGTTCAAGTAACCATCGGCTGCCACAATTTAAGTCAAGGCAAGTGTTAAGAAGCCCGACCATCATGTTGTAAATTTGGGTTCACTTCCCGGAATAGTGAACTAATTCTTCAAATTTAAGTTGCTTGCTATAGTGAGCATAACATTTACCGATCGTGTACACTTGTCTTAGACTATGGTTGCTCGCTTTCTTATATCTCTTCTCCCATTATTCTCTGGCCTTTACCGTCTGACACTTATAGGGGAACGTTTGTTAAGTTAAGTCATCGCAGTCGACGCATAGGGACTAAGTTAATACTTAGGACATTTTCTTTATTAGTGATCGAATCCAAGAAATTACAAAAAAATTACAACTTTTTAGGAGTATTTTGGTCGTTGATCATTTGCAGCGAAGGATTGTTTGAGTTGATTACACAACAAACCTGTTCAAGAGTTTTGTGTGAATGAGATACACGGGAGCCCAAATTTTCTTGCATTTATATATAAAGAAAGCAAGCGAGAACACTTTATCGGGACGCGACCCTGTTTAACACAGTTATTTATATAAGAACTTTTATGAACAACATGTTATATGGGAAGAGGTGGTACAAGTCGTCCCATTCGAGTTCATTCCTAAAGCGTTCATCTTTAAGCCATAGTTGTATTAATTTTCATCAAAATATTTTTTAAAATTACGACCTGTAGCTTGAACGCAAGAAATTAAGACGGACGACAGACAAAAGGACAAGCTTAAAAACACTTTCGAATAAGTATAATAAGAGAAGGTGTAGCTCACATCTTTCTGAGTGTTGCATACATACGCACAAACCTAATATATCCTGATAGGGTATAGTGAGTGGGATTTTAATCGTTGAGTTTTTACTTAAAATATGTAAAAATAATTTTTTTTTTTAATTTTTAAGAAGAAAATAGAGCCCTAATCGCTCCTGCGAAGCAATCCGTTGTTTCCACTTCGTTGCGTCCTACTGTACTATTGTAGTTGAACAACAACAAAACAAAAAAGTTCAAAGCCTAATAAGAATCGCTCGTACAAAATCTAATAAGATCAAATAGATTTTTTCCCACGGAAAAAAAAACAAATCGCTTTGAAAATTGGACAAAGAGGAATCACCAAGAAACGGTCAAATTTATTCTTATCTCTGTGATATCCATCAGGATTGATTGATTTAAACTTTTTTTTTTTTATCGTTGTAAAGCAAATCACAGGAAGAAAACAATGTACATATGCTTAAAATACTTCAATACTGTATAAGAAGCGGTAACTGTATGAGGCTTTCAGAAAATAAAAAACAAAAAATGTATCTAAAGGTAAAATAAACTGATATTCGCACTTTACTAAACCGAATTGCTCGTTTGTGCCGCTTTCTAATACTTCGCTTAACTATTAACGTTTGCTTAATCAAAATTTTTAGTTAAAGACACTTTCACTCTTGTGTGTAGTGGACCTTACCAAAAAAAAAAAAAAAAAAAAAAAAAAAAATATATATAAAAAAAAAGAAAGTAAATAAAGAAAAATTTTTTTTAAGAAAAATGAACAAAACCCAAGTAAAGGTCCCCTTTAACAGCTAATAGTTGAGCGGAGAGGTTTACGACCCATAGATTACATCAGCAAAAGCAACATGCAAGTGTTAATTATGTAATCTTAGCCACTGCTGCAGTCTTCCTGAGCTAATGAATTTAACTAAAATCTCAATTCTTACGACTATGCGCGTGTGTATGCGACAGCTAACGACCTTATTATTATTATTATTATTATTACTATTGTTATTATCGCATTATCTATGAACGTTGAGTTAGTTGAGTTTGGGTGACGACGTTGAACTGCTGAGTTGAAGAAAGTAGGTCTTGAAAAATATTAATCCACGTTGGCTATGATTTGTGGTGGATTTTTTTTTTTTTTTTACTTTTCTTTACTTTTTTTTTTTTTTTGTACGCTTTAAGATCGTAATTGTCGTTCTTGTCTCAAGAAGAGCAAAACAACAAAGATTCTAAAATTTGAAACACTTTAGAAAGAGTTGCGAATATTTTATGGGTAATGTAACCAACAGCGAAAAGATTGAAAACAACTTTTCGTAAGTTTCCAAGCTGTTACCTTCGCGTGTTGTTTTCCTTTGTAGCTAATATGTGCAATTTCCGCGTTAACATTAAGGAAACGAAAAAGGAAAACGACAAAAACGAAAACACAACAAGACAAGAGAAATAAAAAAAAAAAAGAAGAAAAGTACATGAGAAACTTAGCTTAATTTTCATTTGTTTGTCTCGAGCTCCTTTTGTACCTTTGCCAACATAATGCATCTAAATGTTGCTTCAACTTGTCTGTCACTCTATCTTTTCTTTTGATCTCATGAAAATTTTTGTTTTCTGTGTAAAAAAAAAAACGGGAAAAAACAAAAACTAATAAAAAAATTTCTCTGACAGAAACACAAACAACAAAAGCGGAAAAAATTGATCTTGTTCCCACACAAACACATGTTCTCTCCAAAAACAAGTTATGGTTTCTTGTTTCTTTTTTTCTCGTCACTGTTCTGCAAAGCTTTTTACAGGCTTACATAACTCAGTAATGGCTTAGCACAATTCCGCTGCTTTTTCGTTTCTGTTGTTTTCTTTTTTCACTCACTTTATGCTTTTAGAGTTCACCCGCCAAAATATCCAAAAAAAAGAAAAAAAAACCAGAAGTACTTCGTAGTACATGTCAGTCAGCGTGCTAAGCGTTATACGTTGTGTTTGTTTGGTTCGTTTGTTGGACAATTTTTAGTTAAGTTCGAAGTTTACGTTCACTCAGATGCAAGACTTGCTTCTATTGTTGCTGTTTTGTGTTGTTACTGTTGTTGTTGTTGTTATTGTTGTTATAATTACGTTTCGACGCTTATCCACTACCAGAAGACATGGTTACATTAATTTCGGATAACATTTGCAACTTTTAGAAAAACTCCAAGGCAATTAAACGATCAATCAACGCAAAAGGTCTGAGTCATTTCTACCATGTTTCTCTTTATCGCTTCTCTCTTTCAGATAAAAACTTGAAATTGTTACAATTAAAATCAACTTTGAAGAAGAAGCGCTCGATACGAAATTTTATTGAACTGTATGCCATGGAGTTGAAAAGAAAGGATGCATGACGAGCATAGTGGCCTCACTTTTTTCTTTATCAACGCTCTCTACCTCTCATCAGCTTGTTGGGTTCTCAATCGAGGGCTGAAGAGAAACAACAGCTGATACTTTTCCATTGGATTGAGAGTTAGTAAGTGTAGCTAGGAACTTAATCGCATAAACTTTTAATTTTCTTCTTGAACTATAAGTAAACAAGCATATGCTCTTCGCAGCTCTATGCATGGAGACGATGGATAGATACATCCACCTAGGACGAAGAATGATCAGAAAATGTCACAGAAACTGTCCAGTGAATTCTTTCCATTATATTTTTATTTTTTGCCACGTCTTCTCCGGAGGATATTAAAGTTGAGAGGATTATGAACATGAAAACATAAAGAAAATCTTCGGAATGATATGCAAAGAAAGTTGACAAATGCCTGTCGAGTGAAGCCGTCTTAGCTTTCTTTTTCAAAGATCTTTTCAAAACTTTAATTACACTGCTGTAAAGAAGTTAAGACAAATTTTTTCAAGGAGGACTCGAATTTCTTCTATAGGAGATAGATTAAATTTCAGAAATCATTCGTTGTAGTTCTGCATCAAGAGTTTTCTTATTTCTTATTTCGAAATCCGCTTTACAACAGCCAAGTCTTTTCAAAGGTTACTCGATTTTCTTAGCGTTTTCACCCACCCGTCATGGAGGTGCCCGCACACCGTATGATATCCCCGCACGGTTCCTCTTCATTCTTCAATAGCACTGTTCCCCTCTCGCATAACCTACCGGCAGAGAGATCTTCCACTTTCAGTGCGGAAACTCTCCCCTCTGTCCATAGCTACCATCGTGGTGGACGTATCTCGACGAGTATCTTGAAAAAAATAAAAGGAAACTTGAAAGGGACAGCTCCTTATAGCTGGATAGACACAAGTAGTGTTACTTAGGCTAAACAAACACGTAAGCAGTTCACAGCCCAAAGCGATTGAAATAAGTATCTTTATGAATCAGGATTAGAACTCTGCTTGAGAACATTAGTAATGCTTGCTTCCATAATCAAAGTATACAAGTTCATTAACCCATGTATTCTACTTCGCATAAAATTGCAGAATCTGTCTGATGGTTTTGTGTTATAGAGGACCACTTTAGCATGTTGTACGAGCCCGCTCACAATTGTCTTTCAATATTTTATATATATATAGATAGTGTATATAGTCCATGCAGTGTATATAGGTCACCATATCCATAGTAGGTATACTTTGTTTGCTGCTCCTAATCTGCTACTCGTTGCTATTATCTAAATTTGTATTGCCGTTCCATTAGAACGGCGGCCCTTGCCGTTGGTGAAACTTCTTCAGAGTGATTCTATTCTGACTTAACACAGAGTCTACTCTTTGAGTATAAATTTTTTTGCCTGTAGCATGTCGTGCTGCATATCGTATTCGTAAGTTAGATTTAAATCAATGAGACGCTTTTTTATTTCAAAATTATATGGTAGCGAACTTGACGAATAAAATGAAAGTCAGGCGTAAGTGGTGTATCGAAAGCGATAGTGGAGGGCAACAAGCAAAGAGCGGGTAATAGTTTCGTATTCAACAAGTAGATACTGAAGCCTTTGATTTCAACCACTATAGAGCTCTCACATAAAACCTGAGACCATTGTGTTTGTTTTTTACAAATTTATAAATTTTCAATAAACAAATAGTGAAAAATTTCAATATTTAATAACTTTAAATTTAAGGGGAAAAAAAAAAGGAAAAAAATTATGATTGCGATCAAAAATATTTATTGTTCATTTTTTTATATTTTTTACTGCTTTTCATATATAATTTTCATAATTTTGCAAAATAGCAGAAGTACGGTATGATTGAGCAAAAACGAAAAGATTATAAAAAATTATAAAAAAAAAAAAAAAAATTATAAAAAAAAAAACATGAAATGAAATGAAATTTATGATAAAAATTTCCTATAGTAATAAAAGTTTGATATGGAGCAAAACAACAACCAAACTAAAAATCAAATAATAACAACAAAAACAGTAACAACAGCAAAAGCAACAGCAACAGCACTATTGTGATATTTAAAATGGTTTGAATGAAAATTGGATTGCGATTGTGTGTGCAACAAAAAAAAAAAAACGAAAAAACGTAACAAAAGCAAAGCAAACTAAAAGGAAAAATAAAGCAAGAAAATTTCATGCTCTAAACTATAAATTGCAATAATTTGCAAAAATTTTTAAGTGTGCGGCACACAGACATCGAGCGAAATGGTGTTTAAAACACATTTACCCACATAAATAGTTTTAAGTTCAATTTGCGGTTTAATACACTCCAACCTACTCACTCAGCAATATGTCAACAAGCGAACAAGAAACAAAATTTTACTAAAATTACCTAATAATAGGAAAATAAACCAAAAAAAAAAAAAAAAAGAAAGGAAAAAAAAAGAAATATTTACATTTAATTCTAAAACAATTATTTGGTATTAAAAAAAAAAGTTCAAAAATGTTATGATTTAATAACTTATTGAATCAAATTTCAAAACTGTAAGCGCTTGTTATGCCAACAATTGAAAACAAAAATTTGCTTAGGTAAGACTAATTGTTTTTTTAATATATATATATATATATATGAATAATATATATGTATATATTTATGAATATTTATGAATATTTATGAATATAAATTTAAATATAATTATTATTATATTGAAAAGGCAAAGAGTTACATTTGAGTTCGATTCTTTGATTATTGCAACAAAAAACAAATAAAAGCTTTGAAAGAAGGATTTCAGGGTTTGAGGTTTGTCTTGTTTAGTTTAGGGCAATTAAAGAGCTTGGAGGTTCAGCTTGTTCTTGTCCTCATATAAATCTCATTGAGAAGGCCACACAAAGGCTATACTGCTTAGTTGAGTCGAAAGAAGAGGCGGCTATAAAGTCCGCATTCTCAGGCTTGGTGAGTCCTCCGTCGGGAATGATTTAAAGATTCTTCCCAACCATTACTGCGCCACACATAAGGGAGATATTTCCTGAGTTGGTTTGTTTTATACCACAATGCACGTTTTGTATACCAAAAGGGGCCTTTTGGGCGCATTACATCAAAACCAGAAGGGTGCTTAGGGCTTAAGGCTTCTAATCATTCCCTCTAACCGATAAGGGTATTTTAAATAATATTTAAATGCTTCAGTTAGCCTGAGGGAAATTTCGGAGGGACCCGGCTGCAAGATCGCCCTATATTCAACTGGTCTTTCCCTCCTATATTCAATTCTGACGATCGGTTTGTACATCCTCTATCAGGGTTTCCCCAGACTTCAACCAACGATCAAATATAGTTCGTCATCTTTCGATATATCAATATTATCATGTCCTGCGATTGGATTAAAATCCCGCAATAATTTTAACAACCCCAATAACTTACACATATGTTACACTCCTTGGTCCGAGTCCCAATCGTTCAATCGTATCAAAGCTACAGTAATGAAAGACAACTTGAGCCGACCAGTTCCATAAAAAATTTTTAAATAATGCATTCGAGGTCACCTCGAAGAATTCTCGTAATGTAGGAACTTCTGGGTACGAGGGATGTATCATAAAGAGTTATACCTATTAGAAGTGATACTTTTTAAGGTTTGAGGACAAAGGATGAGAACAACTCAACGTATCAAAGGGAGTTGTGCTTTATTTGACCGCTTACGCTTTGCAGTTATATTGTGACCGAAACGTCGTCCGAACACCCTTGTTAAAGAAGCATCGACGTGCACGATGGCTTCAGCCGTTGAACACTCTGCCCAATATCGGTTGCATTATGTCTGCTATAGCCTCGCAAATGTTCGCTTCTAAATATTCGAAAGTTTATAGCTTGTCAGCATAGATCGACCCCGGCGGTCTAAACAGACAAGTGATGATGGCGACCAAATTCTCTGATGAAAAAACGGTTAGCGCGCACAACTGAACTATTAGTTTAGTAAAATTTGTTCATGATTTCTGATGGGTGATAAGATTACAAATTGTGCTGAATATCTTCACACACATAATCACACGCAAACTGGGAATTATAATTTCAAAAAGTTACGCTCTTCAAGGGGAATCTTTTGTCATCATAACTTTACTTGTAATTTGCTTTATAGCTACAAAGCGAATCTACTCATTTCTCTGTATGTAGGCCCTTTTGAAGTGAACTATGTAAAGCGTGATTACATTCCCTGTCTTTGGATAAAGTTCAACATTTTCTAAAGATATTCCTCTCCTCCCTAAGTAAATCGCTTAGAGAGCACGTTGGCGGATAATTTAGCTCAAAGCTTTCCATCCGCTAAACGAATCTTCTTAAGGAGTATTTTTTTTAAATAATCTCGGAAACCAGATTCAAACTAGTTTGAAGTGATGAACCATTTTGGGAAATCTCACAAAAAAATTACTTTACATCTTCTGTATATGCTTTTTACTAAACTAAACTATATTAACTTGGCTTGTATAGCGTGGGTTATATAAATGTTTTTTTTTTTTTTTTTTTTTTATATTTTTTTTTTTTTATTTTTTTTATTTTTTTATTAGTATTATATAGAATATTCTACGCCGCAAAAACCTACGAAAACAATGCTCATCTCTGTTTAGAAAATAGATATTTTTGTTATATTAATTTTTTGTTGTTGTTTTTTTTTTTCATTTTTGTTTATTGATTGTCAACCGTTTTCATTAGTCATGAGTGTATTCGGTCGGATGTGTGGGTTTTATTTCTAATCAATTGATTACAATTTACGACTTAGTGGAATGAACGGAGACATATGGACAGATATTTTATAAACAAAAAACAAAAAAAAAAATGTTACATTAAACCGTGCATAAAAGTTAATTTGTTACATAAATAAATAGCAAATAAATTAAATTATCAACGCGTAACACATTTTCGGAGGCTCGCTTGTCATTTATTCATAAAAATACATATGACCCGTATATTAGTCAAAAATATTCCCTAAGGATATATTTTGTGTATATTGTGTTTGTCATGCAAGTTCACTTAATTGCATTTTATGCTATAAATTTCTGCCACATGGCGATCATTTTACTCATTTAAATATATAAACTACTAATCTACATAAGGTTGGGCTATTTACTGTTTTGCATCATGAGGTATAAGGAATTATTGAAATTTAATTAAGTTTTGCATACGGGCTTACTACATACACACATATACATACATATATATATATATGAACATATAGCTCTAGATGGCGTCAGCTTTAAGATTGAAACTATAACTGAGCTGCTTGCAGTGCCTGAGGTTTTAAAAAATTCGTCTAGCTCTTCTGAACTCTGTAAGAGCGTTTACAACCAGCCAATCAAAAAAAAAAAACACTTTTCCATGAAAAATATTTTTCGAAAAAAAAAAAAAAAAAAGACGATAAATTTTATTAATTTAAAATTAAAACATCGTTTACAAAGCGGTTGTAGTGAATAGTATACAACGAAATAGAAATAAATAAAATTTTAGCTCAAGCAAATTACGGTTTGATGACTCAAAATAAGCGAAGGTGTTCTTATATTTTAATTTAAAAAAAAAAGAAGAAGAAAAAACAAAAACCGCGTTAGCAAACAACGTATCCGTTTGCTTGCTCTCTCAGCTTCTCGTTTTTAACTACTAACTAGAGGTTTCGCAGATATCTGTATTTAATTATTTCGTAATTGCTTTTATTGTTAATTAAGTTAATGCTTTTTATGTTTGTTTGTTGTTGTAAGTTTGATTTGGAACGACTTGCAGACCACTGGGTTTCTTCAAGTTCGTGGGTAAATAATTTGGTTTCAATACTTACTTCAGCTCAAACCAGATTTCCAGGTATCTCCTGCTTTCCAACCTCCAACTTCTATATATACTTTCCTACCAATAGACCAATCAAGAGACTGTTCCAATTATTTTGTTGTTCGTATCATTCATTCTCTAAAGCAATGAAATTCATTAGAATGATTATGATTCTATGAATATGCTCGGTCTGGTGTTGATAGAACTCATAGTTAGTAACCTTGTAGTGCTACCATAAAAACTATATTTCTTTTTAAGTCGTTTTCCTTTATTTCTGTGTGTGAGAACAAATATGAAATTTTATTAGCTACCGATAGTGAGGGGAAACAACATCAGAAAACAACATCATTTAATTGAATTTTTCTTAGATAAATTAAAAAATGCGTCGTTGTCATTTTGTGTGGAATCTGAAGCGTCTAGGGGCGCTTGCAACAGCACAAGCAAATACTAAAGTATAACTTGAAATTGAGCAAAATATTTTCCGGCATTTCAAATGAATGAATAACAAACGTAATAATAATAATAAGAAGAAGAAGAAAAAGAAAATAAATTCTGTAAGTCAAAATTGGTTGCTTCATAATACGGACCTGAAATGTTCTTTTTCTGTGAAGTTTGGGCTATACATAGCTTGCATAGTCGTGCTTGTTAGCGCATACGAAAGTATAAAGATGTGGATGTCCTTTGCGTCACAGTGTTTTATTCTGCTAAGGATACAGCTGGAGCTAGGGAAAGACTTAAGTTCGATCGGGATGATAATGCAGTAAGCTATCAAAGCGGATGAAAGGTTTCATCTAAACAATTTCACACTTGAAAAGGATGAAAATTCGCATACCTCTGTCCTGCGAAGCGAGGAAGTAACCTTTAACTTGGATTAAGAGCTTATCTTGATTGCCTGCTGATTAACACCCGCTCCGATTGATAGTTAAAGATGTGCGCAAAGGCGGATGATTGTTTGATGACACAGCCTACGCAAAGTACTCAATAAAAGACAAAAGATCATAGATAGTGCGGTCGGATATTTTAAGTATTAGCCTTAGGGTTTTCTCAAAAGAGCTGGATTTCACTTTCAATTTGTTCCCCCCTAATAATAATAATAATAATTAATAATAATTAATAAAATAATAATGGTAATAAAAAAAAGACTAACAATAATTGTAATAAACAAAATAATATCACTAAATTTTGAAAACTCTTTTCCTCCCAATGCCTACACATGTGCGTGTAAATAATTACATTGAGAATATAATTAACTTCCGTTTTTAAAGAAATTGCAAAAACAAAAAAAAAAAAAACAAAAAAAAAACTAACAACTAAAAACACTACAATGTTTTATTAAGTACTTATGGAAATGTTTTAACAAGTGGTTATTTAAAATTTTTATTTTATTTATTTCTATACTCTCGAAATGAGCACTAAGTACTAGGAATCAGTCACTTGATGGCTTTTGAAGTAAAGAAACTTTTTTTTAATTATTACAAACTTTATTGACATTTAAGTGCTATAAGAGGAGCAATTTGTTGAACGTTGTCTTCTTTGAATATTCTCATATAAAAGTTAATTCCGATTTTTTCTTGAATTTCTCTCAAATGTGATCCATCATCCAACGTCATGTCGGCAACCGCGCATTTAGAAGACATATTCAATTTTCAAACTACAGTTTCAATCGCTAAGCCTTGAATCGTGAAGGAGTCGCTTTTCACACACGCCTACAGAGAAAATTGCGACAAATAAGTGAGAAGAGGATACTAAAGAATATCTAGCGATACAAACTGTTTGTATCCTTCCGCTTCGGATTGAA